TGGATACTTTGACCTTAGCGACCAGGTGTAAACTATCAGGTAGATAATTCAAAATACTTCTGCGTTTCTGATTGCGTATTCCCCCAGCTAATTTTTCAAAACCAGCTACCGTTAACCAAATGTGGAAGATGCTCGCAGATATCCTCAGAGATGAGACTTGTAAGACATCCTCAGAGACCTAGGGGCAGTTAGTTACGCCGTTTCTCTCGACTCGACTGAGGCCCCGGCTATACGAATCCAATTGCAAAAACCGCATATATTTCTTTACACAACCGTGCTCGTATGGACGAGACCTTAAACCTATCTGGAGCGCGGTTTAAAAAAGATGCGGCTTCGGTGAAAGGATTCATAGGTTTTACGTGGACGAAAGGACGGTTCGTGCTAAAAAAAAAAATCGGCTGTTCCAAAAATATCCGGATTTGTGTGGAACCTGGCTTGACTGCCCCTGGGTTCTCAAGAATTTTAACGGTTAATTATTGATCAACAAAGGACAGCCGAAGGCTTGGTAGTTCGGTTTTGATAATGCTGGAGAAAATAGCGAAGAAAAAAAAAAGAGAGCCGAACTACTGCCTAACGGCAAAGCAAACAAACAGCAAACATACCACTCAACCGATGACAGCTCCTCATGAAGATAAATATTTTCCAGCTAGACTGAACGTGCCCTTATATCCTGAATTTTCTGAGGAAGAGGCAAATGTTATGCAGACGAAACTTTACATCGATGAAGAAAAGCATGATTTAAAGTTTTGAAGTACCTTCAATCACAGGGTCCAGGGGCGTTTCGTGCGAATAAATGAATTACTTATTGTCTCACCTTAAAAAATATGTATACCTGTCGCTTAGCACGATTAATTAGCCAAATGGGATCTTAATGAATCTACTGTAAACGATTTCTTCGCTTTTTATCTGACCCAGATCGACTTTGTTCTAACGACAAACACATCTCCTCTGGACCCTGTGCTTCAATTAATAAAAAAATGTTTGATTCTGCTTTGTATGATATGAAGAATTATGCAGGTCTCGAGGGGTGGGGAGTGGAGGGGAAGGGNTTATTGTCTCACCTTAAAAAATATGTATACCTGTCGCTTAGCACGATTAATTAGCCAAATGGGATCTTAATGAATCTACTGTAAACGATTTCTTCGCTTTTTATCTGACCCAGATCGACTTTGTTCTAACGACAAACACATCTCCTCTGGACCCTGTGCTTCAATTAATAAAAAAATGTTTGATTCTGCTTTGTATGATATGAAGAATTATGCAGGTCTCGAGGGGTGGGGAGTGGAGGGGAAGGGGGTCAGAGTAAGGAAGCCGAGTCCAATAATTGCTGAATAATTGATCAAAGTTACGCTGAACTGCCATCAGGCATATGCAAAATCTCTTATCTTTACGCCAAGCTTCACTACATTTTCCCAGATATCGACGAGTGTTCTTCCAACGCCCATAGCTGTGGCGTCAATGCGGTGTGTAACAATACTCTTGGATCGTATGCATGCGCATGTAAAGCAGGATATTCAGGAGATGGAAGAATATGCACTGGTAAGGCGTTTTGATCTTTTTCTAAAGGTGACATAGAAGAAAGGGAATACTGTCAATGACTCCTGTAAACTTGTTAACTCGAGTACAGACGAAAAAGGTTTTTGGTAGGTCAGACAACAACGAAACCAACAACAGAAACAATCATATACTTTGTTTAAAGGAGTCAACTTAGAGTACCGGCTGCCTGGTATAGCCATTAGACAGCCATTAGTAGCGAGGTTGCCAGCTGATGTGATCATTAAATGAAAGTAACCCATGAAGCCCGTAAGCAGCAGTCTTTCACGTGCGGAGTCGGGGGCGCTGGTTTCGGAACGAGGGCGGGGGGAGGGGTGGGGGGTATGCAGGTGGGACTGTTATGATTAGGAGTATTATCATAGATTAGGGAGTGCCCTCGACATGGGTAATAGGCGGATAGTAAAGGAGCTGAAGCATATTGTGAACTTTGAGACGTGGGGAGTTTTAGTTCATAAACCCGGTTGGATAACAGAATTAGCAGTTTGTGTTTTCCTGTGACAAGTTTTGATAAATAGTAGAGACAGGATCAATGCATTATTCAAGGTACTTTTATCGCAACTCCTTCTTCTTTGGATATATGAAACTTTGGAGAGCTCTTCGCAAAGAAGAATAAACGTGAACACGATGCACTTGGCGCGTCCACGAAAATTGGCAGTAGCCTTTCAAACTCTAGCCTAAGAAAACAGCCGACATTTCGAGACGCCACGACTGGTTTTCCCGGGAAATGAAGAAGAATAGAATTTCTTTCCCTTACTTACTTAACTACGTTCACAGCTTGACAACGAAAGGGAAACGTTTTTGCGATGAAAAGTCCTGAAAATAGAGAGGTGCGCAACGGAAGAAAAACGCACGTGACCCACCCACGAGAATTGATTGGCTGCAAAGGCTGAGAGTGCGCATTGGACAAAAGGCCCCTGCAAAAAAATATATCTGGGAGCGCCATTTTAGTAACCATAGGAATGTTTGGAAGGCCAAAACGTCCTGGCTAGATCGTGTACAGGACACCCAAAAAAGAGAAACAGCCAACCACACAGAAAATTGGGGGTTGCATTCTAGTCGGACGCAAAAATGCTTCGAAAAAATAGATTTAGTTTAGAAAAAAATGAAATGTTATAGTCGTCGAAAAACGCAATGCATGATTGTGTTTTCCTTTTTTCTTGAAGCACTCTCAATTTCGCGTTTCTCTTTTTTCTTTCCAATCTAGCGGGTTTTGAATAGCCCGCGATCCTTTGCTCATCAGTTTACAATAATTTATCAGCCTCTATGGGGTCCTGAGATCGCATGTTCGATGATATATCGGGTTCATGCAGCGGTTTCTATTAGGCGCATGTATGTGATGAAAACACTTATCGCCTCAACTAATAGCTTACACGGGTCTAAAGACACAAAACAAACCGCACGGAAATTTGCCGGTGTAAACGTGCCTTTACAACGTACTTTAGGAACCCTAGGATTAAGGCCCCCACCTACTCCTCACTCCCTGGACGTTCCTTTTCCATGAAATCAAAACTTGTCAAGACAGTACAAACTAAAACAATGTGAGTGCAGTGGTTATTGTCCAGTAAGTGCAAGGATTGTTGAAACCTGTTTTTGATCAAGCTTACGTTATTTCAGTCCGTTTTCCTTGTCTCCTGCTACCTCTTCGCTAAGAAAATGGGCGTGATTATACTTAGTTATTTTGTTTATTTCCAGATATCGACGAGTGTGCTAGCGGTACTGATGACTGTCACAGTTCACGTGCTTCATGTACAAACACAGTGGGATCCTTTAATTGTTCATGTAACAGTTCTTACATTGGAGATGGCAGAACTTGCAATATACCATCAGGTATAATTAGAAGATTTTCACTTACCAAACCCGTACACTAGTGAGTGATGCACCATGCGCTGACCTTGGCTGCTTGAACGGTGTTTTACGTTTAAAATTCATTGACCGGTTTTGAGACCTTCGACCAAGTCTACTTTAATGCAATTTATACTGTTACTTTAAGGGGAGTTAACTTTTTCAAGTTTGCCAATTAACTGCGATAGCAGTCACTATCTCTATGAAAAACCGAACAAGAATAAAGAGGCGAATTATAACAGTTACCTTTAATATTTAACAATTATTCGCCCGAAGGCGAAGTTAATATTGTTGAATAATCCCCGAGACGAAGTCGAGGGGATTATTCAATAATATTAACTGGGCCTGAGGTGAATAATTGTTTTAGTTTATTCACACGAAGTGATCTCAACAGAATCAGAAAAGAAACCATTAAAAAACGATTAGTTTGGTTGACGGGTGAATTCATGCGTAAACACGAAGCCGTAAACATGGGGATGCGCAAAAGTTAGGCTTTACAGTATCTTCAAACATGGCAAATGATAGGTTTAATCTTTTTGTATCGAGTTTTGTAAGCTTCAGCATCAACGGTTTAAAACAAAACGCCGAAAATTTAAATTACTACCCAATTCAGAGAAGAAAGGTAGAGCTTTATTTGTTTCTGTCAACTCACCGTGAATGAGAAAGTTTTCTTTGTCGCTTCTTGCAAATGCTGTCAACAGCGGTTACGATCAAGGTGAGCGTTGTTTATCTCCAAAGTTCTTTGCTTTGTTTACTTGCTGGCAAGCACAAGTTTCGAAAATATTTGCCTTCCTCTTTTCTCCATAAATTAACTTTTATCTATAGGCAAAATTGGTCTTGCGAGAATCCCGAAATCACAAAACAGTGACAAAGCGACCTCGTTTTCCTCTGTAGTTGTAAACATGGCTTCGAGCGTACAAAAAAGTCAGCTACAGTAAACCACTTCACAATAAATCACGCTGTTTAAACACCATGAAGTCTTTTCTTACCTTCAAAGTCATCAGCACTTGGATATTCGTGTATTTTCAAAAAGGCCTTACTATGAAACTTTGGCAAAACACCCAGTTCACGACAGCGATTTTGTTCTGCTTTATATTCACCGCGTAGCGCGGTGAATATAACGTCATAGTCCGAGATAGGTAACCAATCAGATTGCTTGAATTACCAAGATCACTGAGTGTACACGAGTGAATAAGTTTCTGAGTCAGAGGTACACGAACGATTATATATCAAATAATCGTTGTGGGAGAAATTCTTTTTTTTGTTTTTTTTGTTTTTACTGTCTTTGTTCATTTCCGTTTTTATAGTAGTCTTATGGACGTGAATAGCTGACCCTTAAGCTGATATCAGGCATCCTTGCTCAATGCTTTTAGAAACTACGTTTTCATTATAAGTGACCTTGTATAAATATAAAAAAGTGGTTATACAGAGTGCTTTATAAGAAAAGACCTTTCAGTTAACTGTCTTTTGACAATAGAACTGGCACAGAAAAAATCTCAACGTAGCAAATACGCGAAAGGTTTATAATCAATCTTTAGTTGCCAGAACGTTTTTGTATAAATGTCAGTATTGATGGTTACAAAATTGATGTCGTTACCTGTAATTATTAATTATGGTCAATTCTGAAATATTCAAGCACCTTTTTATATATGAACGGACCTATTTTCCCTGGGAAATACTCGGCAAAGCTAAAGGCGGTACATGCGTCGATGTATTCCTGTATCAAAATTTAACGTCGTATGTAACAGAGATAATTCATCTGTTTACCGGCACAAGTTATGACGATGCCTAACATATACTGCTCATGGGTAATAATGTTTTCTTCCTGTGTTGTTGTTGGTTAACAGTGAGGATGTGATTGGGGAATTTAGAACATGAAATGCTCCCCTCTTTTACCTCGAGCTCGCCACACGTAAGGGAATGCGGATTCCGGAATCCAAGAAATTTTTGCTGGTGGAATCCAGAATCTAGGAAATTGCTTGTGGAATCCGGAATACTAGGCTTTGGAATCCGGAATCCTTCTAAAGATTTGAATCCAGAACTTAAGTTCCACTGGCAAAGACTGGGTACCAGTACCTAGAATCCGGAATTCACGGCGTGAAATCCAGAATCCAAGATTGTCTTGGATTCCCTTATGTGGGGCAATCGAGCTGATGTACAACTAAATGAAACGTTGCTAGTGACTGATGTTCTTTCTCCTCTTTGTGTCAGAATGTCAGAACTACGGGATTCTCAACAGCGGAAGCCGAAGGACTTCGTATTATAGGAGCTACTACTATGGTTATTATTGTGATAGCAGTCTTGGCCCCGGATGGTTCCGTTTCCAGGGGTCTGCCGGCACAAGAATGGCAACATCATGTCCATCTTACCGAAGGTGTGGTACCTATTCTACCGGCTGGCTAAGTGGAGGACACCCCTCAGTAGCGGACGGTCAGGTCACCAGGACGGTGTATTTTAATAATGGTTATTGCTATGGTTACTCAACAAGCATCAAAGTGAGAAATTGTGGTTCATATTATGTGTACTATCTAAGTGGTACACCTACTTGTGATCTCCGTTACTGTGGCAACTAACTAGACAGAAATGCAAAGTAACAAAGTCTATATGTAAACATTTGATCATTTCACTAAAGTAGGCTTTATTGTAAAAACAAAGTAACCATCTAAAAAAAAGACTCTACTTACACTTTAACTTCAATATCAATATCTGTTTATAATAAATAAAATACTTAGCAAAGAAAGAAAAAGTGAGATAGGACAACGTACTACTTTTAAGCCATTTTGCAGGTTATAGCGCCTATAACGTAAACATTTTTATTATGTAATGGCGACCTATTTTTTGATGACACTCTTCAAAGAAAGCTTCACAAATGACTTAATTCGGACGGATTACAAAACTTTTCGACGCAACTAGCATGAAAAACACATCTCTAAAAAAAAAATGTCTAACTTGGAACCAGACCTTTCGGGGCTTTAGACTTGATCTCCGCGCCGCTTACATGCAGATTTCGAGTAAAAACAAGAAAAAACTCATGTCAATGAAAACTTAGAAAAAACTCCAAAACATATTATGTTAACTGAAATAAATGCTAATTACTGAGTCTAACAATGGCATGTATTTGCTAAATAAACTACGATGGACAACATGATAGTTAAGATGTAGGGAGTACGGAGTATAAAACTGCTTACTTGTTTTTTGATCGGTCCAGGGAAGCACTCTGTGAAATCGGGAGCGAAATGGATATATGGACTAGGGATACAGTCAACTCTCACCTTGCGGACACCCTGCTATTACGGGCACCCCGGCAATACGAAAAGCCGCTAAATCCCTCCCTATTGCGGACTTATGTTTGCTATCAAAGACACTAACTCTGGGTCCTGAGAATGACCTCAATAAACGAAAGTTGACCACACAGGGTTGAGCCCTGATTCTTGGACTATATTAGAATAGGAGTTTCATTGAAAAATAAAGGCACAATTTAGTATTAATAACCTCCTGCTCTTGTACGTTGGCGTAATTGTACTTACTGCCAGAATCCCTCAGGCTTTCCCTTTCTTTTGCAAATGAGGGCTTTGTTTTTTTAAACCTCAACGGGATTACCTAATTTTTCATGAAGGATCAATCAAAATGAATTCAGGTGTAAGCAGTAAAAAGACGTCATCTCGTGTCATTATTGCACACGGGATATGGAGAGAGGACCTATTAAGATCATTTTAAGAATACTAAAGAAGATACATGTCCATCTTAGATATAATTACCTCTGGACAACTGGAAAAGACCGTGTTAAACTCCTGTGTAGTAGTATGACGCAGTAGTGAATAAATAAAATGCTCTTTGCCAGTTAATTGTTTTGCCTTTTCATGTTTGGTATGCATTATAACTGGAAACGGGGAGAAAAGAAGTTGTAAACAGCAGAAGGGAGTTAGAGGTTGGAAGAGCAGAAAATAAGGCGCAGAACTGAGCCATCGTTTTCTTTGTGCCATATTTTTCCGCCCCTTTAGACTTTCCCTCGCCCCCACCATCTGCCCCTGGGTCTCCGAGGATGCGTAACACCAAGAAACATCCAAGATAACATATAGAGTTCTGACCAGTACTCCATAGAAAAGTGCAAGAGTACGATTTTTAGGCGACTTGAGCAAAGAAAACAGGAGTCAGAAACTGAAACGTTACGACAAGGACCACATCGGCTGCCATGAACTGATCAGGTGGACTCATGATCAGGGTTCTTGGTCCACTTTTTACGACAGATAAAGAAGCTTCCGCACTATAAGAAATATATGAACATGGTGCATTGTAAATTCGTTGTACAAAGAAGGCGAATGGTCACCTGGGGTGCTACATACTTGAAAGGTCCAACTAACATAGATCACTTTTTCGTTAGACCCTTCTAGCTAAAATGGTTTAAATAGAAGCATGAGATTGAGATGCGAAAGGGCCACAAGCTTGTTTCAAAGAAAGGAAAGATGGTAAATTTTTGAGCTCGGTCAAACAAATGTAAAAATGAAATGATCAGCATGCCACAAGCGTGGGACGAAGAAAGAATCTGATCGAGTCCCTGACAGAATTCGAACCTATGACCTCCCAATTCAAACACCGGGTGGGCGCTCTATCCACTTGAGCTACGGAGAACTCATGGAGAGCGAGACCATATACTTGGTTCATTTTGATAGTAATATTAAGAGATCATTCAACTTTGCCTTCCGTTTATGTTTGGGGGTTCGGAACCGAACCAACATGTCGAAGTGAAATCTTGTTTCTTCATTTCTCAACTATAATCAAAATATTTAATCGTTTCTGATTGTCTCCAGTCCCGTCAAGTCGCTAAATCCTCATGACTGGCACACGGTTACATCATTTGGAAGATGTAGCTACCGTCTATTGTGCTTGTCACAATCACGTACTAATAGTAGGCATTGTACACTGTTCAAACAACGACAGATTTCTTTGGATTTAAGCAGCAGAATAGCGTGATATGTTTGATTTTAAGCCAGTCTTTCTTCCCGTGTTTGACCCTTGTACTACACATACGCCATTTATTTATTTTATTTTTTTTTTCACCTCCTACTAAACAATTTTCAGTTCCTTGGCTTTTCGAATTCGCCGCAGTCATTGTTTTTACCCTTCGTCCTCCTTGTCTGCCTTAGTCTTTATATCAATACAACATTTGTCTGTGACGTTTTTTTCGGAAAGCCCAGGGACACCCGGATTATACGGACAACATGGCATGTCCCTTTGATTTCCCGTATTAACCGGGTTCCCTTGTAAGTTCTTTTTGAAAAGTAAAATAAATGTTTTTCCTGATCCTTTTTTCCGAGCTTTTGGTATGGTGAGAAGCAAATTGACGCCAGCTTTTTTCTGTTTTTAATTCATCGTCTATCCTCTTATTGATAATAAAAGTCATAACATTGTCAAAGTTTCGCAGTAGTAGATCCATTCACCTGCGGCTCGTGTTTGTAAATCTACTGCCGCAACACTTTGGCAATGTTGTGACGAAATTTTTACGAAAAAAAAACTCGCGTCAATGTGTTGCACTGAACCAGTTTTAGCCATAAAATTATTGTTTAACCTGCCTACTATTTCCCTACTTCATCGTATGTAGCAGAGATCACTCATCCATTTGCAGTGTATGCAGTGCGTGTTATCCCAGTTCGTGTGGAGTGGGAGTCAGCCGAGTAAAAATGGCCACTAAGTGGGGTGAAACTTAAGGGAAATGGGACTTAGTTTGAGTTAGCGGGGAATATATGGTTTCTAAGCTCTCCATTTTTCTGGTGGCCAGCGAAATGAACCAGAGAGAACGCAAAAGCAAAAAGCGTCAAAGCAGCCTTTCTATCTCGGGTCGGCCTGCAAAAGCAGCCGTTTCTTCTCGCTTCTCGTCGCTTGGGACAAGCGTTGTAAAACATTTTAACCCCAAAGTTATCCAACGCTTTCCAGCTTCTTCAAGTTTTGATCATTTTAACAATTGTATTTTTTCTATACTAGAATGTCAAAATTACGGGAGTTTGAACAATGCTGACAGGAAGATAACTCCTGGAAGACGCAATTATTGTGATAGTGGTATCGGCCCTGGATTGTTTCGTTTTGGAGGGTTCGCCAGCACAAGAATGCCAACTTCATGCATGTCCACCTGTCCAAAGGTGTAACACTGATGCTACAGGCTGGTTGAATGGTGGACACCCTACAGTAGCAGATGGTCAGGTCAGCAGGCAGGTGTGTTTTCACTACGGTAATAACTGCTGTCACTGGGCAAGAAACATCTATGCGAGAAATTGTAGTAGTTCATATTATGTGTACTATCTTAGTGGTACACCTACTTGCAGTCTCCGTTATTGTAGCACTGACTACAAACAAGATACAAGTAAAGTATTACCTGTTCTATCATTTCGCTTAAGTAGGCTTCATTGTACTGAAGAAAGAAAAAAGAAAAAAAAGGAAAAATCGCACTTAACTTCAATATCTGAATTTCTATAACTTAAGCAAAGGTAGAAAAAAAAAACTATGACGCAGCACAACGTACAACTCGCGTTAGCAAGCCAGGAAGCTAAACTAGGTAAAATAATTAAAAACCTTATAAAATTACTAATGCAGTTTTGTGTGTCACTTGTCACGATGAATACAGCTATTTCGAGAGAGGTTGTCGGATAAAGTGCACGCGACAACCCCGAAAGGTATTGTGGGTGGTTTTGAGTTCACTGTTTTTCAAATAAATTTGATAGAATGGAAGGAGAGGCCATGGACATATGTCTGTGAGTGGTAAAGGAAAGCAACAAAAGTAGGTTCGACAGCTACGGTGTCAGGAACAGTGTATTGAACATACCCGATATAATCTTTCGGGATTGTCGCGTGCATATTTTTTTTCGTGAACCTTTCTCGAAATAGCTGTATACACTGAGTCCAAGAACGCCTAGCCTACGTACAGCAGACGCACTTCCGGTAGTCGATCCTCTCCCTAGAGAACGCCATGCACTTGTTAAATAAACTACAATGGAGAGATGTTTTAACTTAGAAGATCTGCAGAGAAGGGCGGGGTATGAATCTGCTTACTTGTTATTATATTGATCTGTATAGGGATGCACTCTGTAACTTGGATCGGAAACAAACTATAATTGTTCATAACGACTATTCTGTGTTTTCACTCACGTGGCCAGCGTCTATGCAAATTTATTGG